TTTCTGAAATTTCCAAAATTCTGTACAAAGCGAAATTTCCGAAATTACAGAAGATTCCGAAATTTCTAAACTTTCAAATATTTTCAAAAAATTTTCATTTGCTTTGCTATGTAGCAATCGAGTTGATGGAAGCTTCGGAAATTTCTGTAATTTCCTTTTTCGGAAATCTGAACATACCTCACCTCAACATGAAAGATAATCATTTTAAAGATAGTATTTCTATAATTCCTTCAATTTTAATGCTTCATTGATTGCATGCATCACTAGATTTGTATGAAAACTATATAAAAAGAATGAGGAAAAATCAGTTGGTATTAATATAAAANTCAACAGTAATTATTAAATGGAGCGATTTGCGCCATTTGCTTGAAAGTTTTGCTCGTCATATATACTCTGTATCTTTTCGATTCTAAAGTGCACATTTTGTCGATCATCTTATGACTTTTGGTAGTTTTATTCAGGCACGCAGCACATGTTATGGTTGAATTTAAGTTTAGATGAACCAAAGCCTTCTCAGCGCTTAACCTAACATTAAGTGTAATTTGGCGGTCCTGTTTTCTTTTATGACATCACTAGTGCCTATTATTTTGTGTCCTTTCTCTGTATTTACTGTTTGGCTTTCTAACTTTATTTCAGTATGAGCTTGTGCTACATGTTAACTAAAACCATTCTGTTGAATAAAACTTATTATTTTTCCTTTCTTTTTTCTTCTTTATCTTATGCTTTATTTTTCTCCACATTTTTTCTCTATCAATAATCAATATTAAATACGAAATAATAAATGATAAAAAAAACTCAAAAAATGATATATTTATTTATTCTTAATACAAATCCAATTGAACATATATTTATGTTGACTTGCCAAAATTCCAAGAAATAAAAAAATGGTTTGATGCCACTGAATTCATCTTTCTATACATTTGACCATATCCCTTGCTCAAGAAACATCTAATAATCAAATTCGAATGATATATGTACGATTCATTTACAATATTTCAGTATTCTATTTGTATTCGTTTCAATTTTTTTTTCTATCAACCGAATAAAAGCTTCGACCTTAGCATATAGGATTTCATGATATCAATTTATTGTTCTCTTGAAAAGGAATAAAAAAGAAGTATTTACATTCGAATCAGAAGTGAACAACGGTGAAACTGACTGAATAATTGATTCTTGTTTTTTTCTGACACCTCTAAATTCCCTTTCGTATGCAGTGTTGCAGAAAGTAAAAATATTTAGAGTTATACTTTCTCATCATGACAATATAAATAATCAAATAGCTATACTTTTATATTTGACGAAAAAAGGTCGATTATTTCATGTGAGAAGATTTTATTCTGAAAGCTATTAAAAATACAAATAAATTTCATCTTTTTCATTATTTGCTATTTACTGTTGTTTTTAAATATGGTAACTGAATGTTCGAGTTCCATTAAAACGTTGCTCGACTTTTATTTCTACTTCTACACGTAGAAATGGCTCATCTATTAGAAGATCTAATCTTCTGTTAATAATTGAATCATGTATTTGATACAGCATGATAGTACAACAGATTTTCTTTGTTTCGTTGTTGATTTTTGATATCGAATAGAGTTGTTCACATATTGTTACTTTGAACAGCGATTTCTCCTTGAAATATTAAACATAATAGATAAATTTACTTTTTTGAGCATCAACCATCAATGTCCACAATGCAAAGAATGCATCATCCTAAAAGAAAGAAATTTAATTAAAAAAGCTGCTTCATTAATCATATCAACATTTAATTGAAAAATAAGTCATAACCGTTGAGCAATTTTTCTATACATGTAAAATAGATCATCTAGAAAATAGATCATAATATTTTTTTAATAAGAATAGTTTCAAAATAAATAAAATTTATGTTTCCTTAGTGAAATTATTCAAAAGTCAAACTTGAACATTTAAGAGTACAGAATTTGTTATTATACTTACGAAAGAAGCAATTGTAATTAATTTCTAAAAAAAGAACAAGGAAAATACTATTCTTACTCCACTTGATGAAGATAAATATAAATTTAGTCATCATCATCAGTAATTGTGTTTCTTCAAGTCTATTGTGTGATGGAAATAATATATCACGACTTGAATCATTCGTAATAAAAATTGTTATTAGTGCATATACGATATAGCACGAATTTGAATAATATATTTATAAAAGCATAAGTTTCTGAATCAATCAAAAGATGTTATAGTTGTTTCAAGTCGATTCTGTAAAAGAGATTACCATTTCTTGACAATTTGCATAACACTGATAAATAAAGAAAATTTTTCTGGATTAAACATAAATTACATTTTTACTTGTAATTGTGATAAAAGTATTGTAATATTCATTTGATTCTAATGATTTTGATTGAAGAAGATGAAGAATTAATCGATAAAAATCTGAAATTGTACATTGTTCGACTTTGAAATGTATAATCGATTATTAATTTTTGTTTAATAAATGAACGTAAAACCGTAGAATAATATTCAAACTAAAAATAAAGAAAATTAACTATAAGAACGACTTGTTTTTTGTTTTCATTGTTCCATAATATAATGATGTTAGAAGATACTAAAAACGGTAAAAGAATTGCCATTGTGATGGATTTCGATAACCATTTGATGTCATTGAGCTGATTGATGAAATAGATCGAGTACATGTTGATGTATCATTAAAATCATCAAAAATTTGTTCTTTTCGAGCATCAAAATGTGAAAATTCTCAAAATAAAATTATAATTGTAATTTATTTTATCTCATACCTGAATTCAAATTGTATTTTGAACAGAAACAGTCTGGATCACTGATTTGCATTGATGGTTTCTATAAAGAAAAAAACGTGTCCGTTTATTTCTTCATTTAAATACAACAAAAGGAATATTTTACCTTGCGTAGTGTAAACAAGTTCGCATACTAAAATAAATGAATAGACTTATTGTTCTTTCATTCCGCACAGGTGCAGATGAAACGCAAACGATCAATTAGTACAAAGCATGTTAATATGTTTCTGTACGACATAAGTGATTTATCTCGATGATGACTACTAATTGTAGCACAGTCACATTGTTGATCAATCATCCAAAGTACAATTGATAGCTAATATCAATTGCACATCTGAATTCACCAAAAAATGGCTATAAATAGTTATAATTTTCAACGTAAAATATCATTCCCCCTTTTCTTCTTCTTCTTCTTACATTATAATATTATATATATATATATACTATTTTTTAACTATTTTAGCTTCTATTCGTTTTTAACATTATCAATATCACGGGTAAGTATAGTTTTAGTTTTAATTTTTTTTCGTTGTCTCAGCCTTTTACCCCAATTATTTTAATTTTATATGATAATCTTTTATTATTTTCTTTTTAAGTAGTATAAACAAGGTAAGTATTCTTTTATATATATTTCCTATGTCCTACCGGGGAGAAGGCCTTCCATACATCGGCGTGAAACTGGCCAAGGCTACTTTGGTACCCATCGCACGTACATGCCGCTATATAGTTCTCTCTGATGTATGTTCTATACACGTTAGTACTAAGTCTGTGCGTGAAGAGGCTCGCCTCTCTATGGCACCTCCAAGGTAGTTCTTGGTCGCGCGAGCAACTATTAACTGGTAAGCAAAAAAATATTTTCATTGCAATCAATTCATCTCAATCAAATTTTGTTATTTCGTTTTAGCTCATTTCAATTTCATCAACAGCAAAGTAAGTATAATATTGCTTTTCTATTCTAATCATCATTCTTTCTATTCTTTTAGTTCAACTTCAAACGGAACAACACAAAATTGAAGTAATTATCTTATTCCAATAAATAAAATTATTTGCTATTTTTATATTTTAGTTCGAGACGATTCAATAAAAACCAAAATAATTACAATTACACTTTTTTCACTTTTTTGTAACTTTTTATTTTTAAATTTTTGAAATAAATAATTTAAAATAACTCGAAATTTTTTTCTTATTTCCCTAATAAATTATTTCATTTTAGCAATAAATATTTTCAAAATAATTCAAATTTTCATTTCAGGAATAAAATATATTCGAAGTAGCAAATTAATTTTCATGTCAAGAATAAAGATTTTGTGAAAAAAACAAATTCTTTCATTTAATTCATTTCTTTTCATTTAACAAATAAATAAAAGAATAAGAAAAGAAACATGTGATGTAACCTTATATTTTAGCTTTTTTCTTTTTGTTGAAGTGAAAGGGTAAAAGTAAATTGCTTTTTTTGTTCATTCATTTCAAAGTATAGAAAAAGAAACGAACAAAGAAAAAACAATTCACGGGTCTTATTGGATAGAAAATTGTTGAACACGACCATTAATGTACTCCGCAACATAGAAATTACCATGTTGATCGAAAGACAAACCAACGGGCAGGTTCAACTGATTTGCTCCGGCTCCTGGACCATTTCCACCCACTATTACAGTGCCTTGGTTTGCTCCTTGAGTCCAACGCATTACACGATGATTAAACTCATCTACTACATAGAGTGTACCCGCCGTATCGACGAAGAGCCCGAGAGGACCATTTAATTGTGTCAGAGCACTCCCTGCGCCTTGTCCTCCAGCGATCACAATACCTTCTGTTGCATCTTTACTCCATTTCATTACACGATGATTTTTCCACTCTGGTACGTAGACATTCTGTTGTTGATCGACAAAGAGAAATGTCGGATAGTTGAGTTGATTGAGTCCAGCACCTTGCCCATTACCACCAGCCACGAGAGTGCCAATTTTCTCACCCAATTTATATCGTCTTACTTCTTGTTTTCCATTGTCAGAGACGTAGAGATTTCTCTCTTCACCCATTGCTAATCCATAGCAAGCGATGTGATCGATGAGTATTTCACCTTGTGTTGTGTCACTACGGCGAGACCATCGTACAACCCGTTGATTCCCCCAATCACAAATAATAAGACTATCCGTCTCTTTGTCAATCAATACATCAGTTGGGCCATTCAATTGATTCAATCCATTTCCTGCGCCTTTACCACCAGCAACAACTTGTCCATTCTTTGTATCACCGTTGTTCCATTGCATGATACGATGATTCCCCCAGTCAGCAATAACCACTGTTTGATCATCATTAAAGAAGAGACCCTGAAGCTGGTTGAGTTGATTAGTGGCACCCCCTTGCCCGTTACCTCCAGCAATAGTCACTCCGTTCTGTGCCCAGTTAGCATTAGCAGGAATATTAACTAGAAGAGAAAATATAAGAATAAAAGGAGATCTCTCTCTATCGCGCTGAAGAGTGGGTGTGATTCTTCTGCTAATCTATACCCACACCCAATCATGAAGATAATTAATCGATCAATCGAAATCGAGCCTTACGAATAGATCGCCAAGTAAGAATAGTTTTCTCAGTGATAGATTGCATTATGGCTATACAAAAACTATTTAATACCTATCAATTGAAGATTTTTCGTACGATATACGGATTCTTGCTTCGCATCGCATTTCGTGTACGAGTGAAACTCGAATACCATCTAGTTTCAGTTCTCAATTTACGGATTAACAACACCGTTTTTTAGGAGAAAACAACCTGATCGATAGAAGAACACTTTGACTAATTCTGAAATTCAATCACAGGCCATTATAGCTTTCAGAATCATACCCAATTTCGTCAAGTAAGTTATGAAATTTCTTCACTTGCTTTAACCCTACGTTAACGTTGTGGGGTCCACGCGGACCCATCTGACCATTTTCCCACTGCTATTCCGTCATTCTTTGTTGTTTTGGGTCATTCCATTTCTCTAATCTCTAATCCTTAGTTGGCCTATAATATCCTCACTAGATGTCAGAAGTAGTTCTATGGAGGGAGGAATACAGTGGTGGGTCCGCGCGAATCCAAGAACACCCATTGTGTTATAAGTATGATCTTTTGTCTTACTAAAGCTGCCATCTATTTTCTTTCAATTGTTTTCCAAACAGATGTGTTATGATTTGTTTCTACATTCATTTATAGTGCTAATGATTCATTCTTTCTTCGTATAAAGTGAAATTCGAACCCGTAACTATTTCCAAAATCAAAAATATATTTCTGTCTACTACTACTTGTCTACTTATTGTGATTGTTTGAATCTGGTATTAACTCTTCTAAACATGTGAGAAAATTAAACTATATCATGCATTTTCACTTTTGCTGTTATTATATAGCATGAGCCCCATACCTAAGTCAAACTTAAAACGAATTCGCGATATTCTATTAGCAGATGAAAATGGAATTAATAATGATGTTAATGATAGTCAAGGTTCTGATTCAGATAGTGACTCTGATTTTCTTGCAACTGAATCAGATGATACATCTAATAGTGAACATATATCAGAAGAATCTGATTTATCAAATTCTGATTTTGAGCATGGTGATGTTGTTACAGTTAGTCAACCAGAAACATTAAAAAAGAACGGTGTCACATGGTCTATATATCCAAGCTTAGAACAAAGTCGCACAGCTGCTGCTAACGTGATGAAAAAAGGTCTGGTCCTACTATTAAAATTCAGACAATTCTTGATGCTTTTAAACTTTTCTTTACAAATGAAATGCTTGAACTAATTGTTCTTCATACAAATCTTTATGCTAGACGATATTATGATAAAAAGATTAGACCACGACAAGATTCTAATAACATACGATCAGATTCACATTTTTGGAAACCAGTTGATCGTGTAGAATTAGAACCTCTTATTGGATTATTGATTCAATCTGGTGTACATCGAAGTAATCATGAATTACTTAATGATCTTTGGGACATCCGCCAGAAAAACTACTCTTGTAGATTTTTTTAATCATGGAAAAAAGAAACATAAAAATAAAGCTATTGAAAAAGGAACGAATGCCTTTTCTTCACACATCTATTCATTATGTATGTCGGTATAC